CTGGACCTCATTTGGGGTGTTCTGGGGTGTTTGAAGCAGTAATTGTCCTTTCTCCTCTCCCCCTGACTTAGTCTCTAGAGATTTTGGAACTTTTCTTTTCCCATGCTGTGAATTTTTAAAAAAGGGGTTCTTGGGGCACCTGGGTGGCTCAGTAGGTTCAGCATCTGCCTTCGGCTCAGATCATGATCCCAGGGTCCTGGGATCGAGTCCCGCATCGGGCTCCCTGCTCAGTGGGGAGTCTGCTTCTCCCTCTCCCTCTGCCTGCCGCTCCCCCTGCCTGTGCTCGCTCGCTCTCTCAAATAAATAAAATCTTTTCTTTTTTTTTAAAGGGGGGAGGTTCTTAAGAGAAGCCAGTCCGTTTCCAGACTTGCATAGTCATACCTGCCTGCCTGCTGAGACAGGTCACAGGTATTCATGGGGTTCGTGGCTTGGGGCCCCAGTCGAGAATCAATGTGATGGAGGAATGCCTGGCTGAGTGGATGGGCCGAGAACACTGACCCTCAGTGCATCTCAAATGCCATTTCTGCCCAGCTCAGGAATTTCTGGGCCAAGCCCTGCCCCATCCATGTCTGTAGGAAATGGGAACCCAAACCCTACTTCCTAGACGCTTCTGCAAAAGACTATGGTTGTGACCCTCATTTCTGAATCCAAGGCCCACCTGTCAAGTTCAGGAAGGTCATTTTTCCAAATCAGAAAGTGCTAGGCTGCAGGGACCTCTGTGCCCTGATGAAGATGGGTAACTAGGGTGCTGTGTTCTGAGCTGTCTTCCTTATAGACTCTGGGAGCAGGACTGAACAGCCCCACAGCACCCTTAAATACGGGTGCTTCAGGATAAAGAGGGGTCTTTATGATGCCCACAAACCCACAACAAAGCTTGTAAGGGCTTGAACTTCAGCTTCTTGGTCTGGAGATTCAAGCTGGTGAGTGAGACTCCCTGAGTTAAAGGAAGAGCTCTCTCTCTCTCCTTTTTTTGTTTGTTTGTTTTCTTGTTCCCTCTATTTATTCTTTCCCCCCTAACTGAGCATTAGGAGAGGGAACGGTCCTCTAAAAGGGGGGGGTCACCAAAGCACGACCCAGGTATTTTTGTAAATAAGGTTTCATGGAACACAGGCACACCTGTTTGTTTACATTCTGTCCGCGGCAGAGTTGAATAGTTGCGACAGAGACCGCGTGACATACAAAGCCTAAAATATTTACTATCTGGCCTTTTACAGCCAAAGTTTGTCACACTCTGCTCCAGGAGGTCGGTGGGGGCCAGTTTGTCCTTTTATAGGCATTCTTGCCCACCCAGAAGTCAACAGGATGACACAGTCAAAGAAAGCATTTGGAGGCTTTGCCAGGCTGGAATGCCACCCAGCCCTCCGGCATCTTCCATCCTGTCCCTGGAGGGGGAGCTTCCAGAGGCGCTGGAGAGCCCCAGGCAACTCAAGTGAGGTCCAGGGTTCCCTCCTCTATCCCCCCTCTCAGCACACACCTGGTGCTGTGGCAGGGCTCACACGGCCCTCATGCCGGCAGCCCAGAAGCCCTATATTGGCTTCTGTTCAGTATTAACCCTTCCATGGAGAACCATGACTCCTCCCAGCATGATATTTGACTGATTCCTGGGTCTGTTGGCGAAGAAGAGTGCCCGGCTGACTCCTGGGACCACAGACTCCTCCCTTCCCCTCTGCCCTCCTACTCCAGGGTAGCTTTCTGAATAATACCTTTGGAGGGGAGACAAGTCACATCTGCCAGATCTCCTTGAAACGTGTGCAAACGTCTCAGAGAGGCTCCTGGAGGAGACAAAAAGCCTTCTTGAGCACAGCCCTAGTCCCCTCTGGGGATAGGACCTTGTTTTCCGTGCAGTTTAGAGCCAGCGTGTTACCCAGATGGCTTTACCTCCCTCTGAAACAAGTTGTGCACACGCTTAGAGGCAGTCATTACCTAGTGCCTTGTTTTTACTGCTGTCTTGTTTTGTCTAGACCCAGCTATTGCTGCAAGGAATCTGGCTGAAGGCCGGGGAACACATTCTGGAGACCCAGAGCGAGGGCCCTGGAGGGCCCCCCAGGGGGCTGCGAGTCATCCACTTATTCCCAAGGGATCTTAGCCTCCCAGCTGTGCTTCAGGTTTCCTGCTTCCCCTAGGCTGAAATGGGAGCTCTTTTGTTTGTTGAAATGAGGAGTGAATTTCTTGGAGGCTTTCCTGAAAGAAAAGCTGACAGTTCCCTCACAGAGGTGGAGGGTCACGTTCAGCCCTCACGCTGGATGCCTCAGGTGTTCTTCAGACCCACAACCTGACTTGGGGAGAGAAATGGAATAAAAATATTGGGTGCTTCCCCGGAGTGGGAAGCTGGCGGTTTTTCCTGGAGCCACCCCCTGCAGAGTGCAGAGAGGCAGTGATGAGGCACCGTCATGGCGGTGGTGGTGGTGGTGAGGACGGTGCTGCCGTCCATTTGTTTGGCGCGGTGTTTCTCAACCCTGGCTGCAAGTTAGAATCTCCTCAGGCTTTTTTTTTTTTTTAAATACCTTATCAGAACCCCACCCCAGACGTGTTATTTTAGAACTCTAATGGTGAGGCTGGCTCTGACGCTGGTGTTTTGAGAAGGCTCCTCAGAATATCCTAATGGGCAGCCACGGTTGAGAACCACTGGTATGCTTTTATAGCCAGTGATTATAAGTAGCTACTTATTTAATCCTCATGACAGTGCGGTGAGTTTGATGTTCGGATTCTCCCTCAGAGATGGGGAAACAGTCCTCCCTGATTCTGCGAAGGCCTCAGATCCAGGCCTCCTGCTGCTTCCCCCACCTCCCCCCCCATCCAACAGCCCAAGAGAAGTGTAGCTGTCTGGGCCTTCGTGCTTCTGCATACTCAGCCACACTCCCGAGCTTTCAGTACTCTGCCTCCTCAAGGTCCAGCTCAGCTGTCCACATTTTCTCCTTGAAGATCATTTCCCATCTGGATTCTTCCTTCTCACTGCATCCTTCCTACCTACAGACACACACACACACACACACACACCCACCCACCCCACCACCCCCACCCCCAGCTCAGTCAGCTCCTGATAAAAAGCCAAGTTGTCTTTGCCTTCCAAGATGACTCAGGATCCTTTGTACTGGGCAGCTCTTCTCATAGAATTCCAGAATCCATGGCACCGGTAACTTCACAGAATCCCAGGATTCCTCACACTGGTGGCTGTCCTCGTGGAATCCCAGAATCCCTTGTGCTGGGTTGTGCTTTCTTCCCCGAACGCCCTTGACCTGGGGCCCCGGGGCAATCTGGGAAGTGAGGCAGAGACATCCCTCCACCCAGACTGGGGTCAGGCAGCTGGCAGGAAAGAGCAAGGACAGGGCCCCAGCCCCCTCAGTTACAGTGAGGTGCTCTAAGCTCCACTTTATTTTCACAACAGGAACCCAGGTGTCATCTGTCACCAGGGACAGAGACAAGGGTGGTGTCAGCTGGCTTTGCTGCTAATACTTCTACTCCTGGTTGGTCTGACCAGGCCAAGAGAGGGGGAGGCTATACCCCCATGCCAGTGATAGCAAGATTTCATCTGGGGTCAGACCTATGGGGCCTCCTGGGGGAGAGGGATGGTCTGTAGGGACTCTTGGCAGGGATGAGCTGATGCTCTGAGGGCAGTAAGGGTGGGTACCAGCACCTGGGTCTGGGTTTCCAGGAAGGAAAAAGTAATGCACAGAAGCTTATGTAGCACCATGGTTGAGAGCCCTATCCTCTTTGTCAGGCTGAACTGCATTTGAATCCTGACCCCGCACCCCCCGCTTAGGAGCAGGGTGGCCTTGGATAAGTTACTCAATCTCTCTGCGCCTAAATTTCTGCCTCTAAAATGGAGATAATGGTAGTTCTTACCTCAGAGGGAGAATTAATCAGATAATTGAGGTCAGACACTACCACGGTGACTGTCATTTAGTGCGTACTCAGTAAGTGACAGTATTATTTTCATCATGTCACCCGCCAGGTTAGGGAAGACAGGATTTGCAGAACCTTTGTATGGAAATGGGAATCACCTGAGGATGAGGGCTCCGTTCAGGGAGCTTTCTTCCTGAAAAGCTGGAAGCGAGCGGGGGCCCTGGGGTCAGGGAGGTCCCTCCCTTCTTCCTCCTCTCACTTTCTAGTAGCCAGCCCTGAAGAAAGGCCAAGGCCAACTGCTGAGGAGCATGACCCATTTTAGTGTTTCTACTCCGTCATCATCTTATGTTTTAAATGGAATGCTTCCTGCAGTATGTTCCGGAGAGTTCTGCAACACACTCTGGGCATAAATTAAGAGACGGGGCGAAAACCCTGAGCTGGCAGCACTAAAGTTTCTCACAGACGCATCTATGAATGCAGATAGATATTCAGGTAGGTAGAGACACAGCGTGTCTGCTCCAAGCAAGATGGCGGTTAAGGGCCAGGAGGAGGAACTCAAGGGAAGTCTGGCCACAAAGGCTACCACTTTTCAGTCCCACGAGTTGGAGGGCACCTTTTCATGGACCTGGCCTCACCCTGGATCAGGTCGTAGCCCCATCCTGCACCTATTTGGAGAGTAACAAAAGCAGGCACGATAAGCTTCCTAGCTTCCTAGGGATCTTTGTCCCCCCAGGGCTGTTGGTATGCAAATCTCCTCAAGGGGTCCCAAGCCCCAGTACCCTGGGGGCTAATTGGCAGGTGACCCAGAGGCTCGTGAGGCCAGGGTGGGAGGGCTGCCCTGCTGATGCGGGCATAGCTAGCCCCAAAGGCCGCAGGGAGGGCCTGCTGAGTGTAAGCGGCTAGGGACCATATCTGTCCTCGAAGTCATTCGCTGTATGATCGCGTCCTCACGAGCCACCTGGGAACAGAGTCCCCAGGACCTCAGGGGAACAGATCTGCCCTGGGGCCTCAGGAATAGTTAAGATCCCCCTGATTCTTGGATGTCCAGGGAAGCCCACCCAGTGTTCTGACCTTGGCCCCCATCCAAGCACTGGCTCTGCTCGCCCTCTTCTGCTCCGTACTTATTAGCTCAATATGATTTTTTCTCCTCATTGCAGAAATTTCGGGTAGATATGCCTGGCTCAGGCAGCGCCTTCATCCCCACCATCAACGCCATCACAACCAGCCAGGACCTGCAGTGGATGGTGCAGCCCACGGTGATCACCTCCATGTCCAACCCGTACCCCCGCTCGCACCCCTACAGCCCCCTGCCGGGCCTGGCCTCGGTCCCTGGGCACATGGCGCTCCCGAGACCTGGTGTGATCAAGACCATTGGCACCACCGTGGGCCGCAGGAGGAGAGATGAGCAGGTAGGCCTCAGATCAGTGTAAGGGAGCCACATGGGTGCCTTTCAGGGCCTGTAACACACTGTTTTTCTGTGGTCTGCTGGGGAGCTGGGTCAGTGTTCTGGGAGCATTGAGGAGAAGAGGCAGCTCGGGACCAAGGGCACATGACCCTTCCTTATGGGAAGCGGAGCCGGAGGCCTGAGAGTCAGGCCTGGCTCTGTCACCTTGCTCATGTCCCTTAGGATCCCTGAGTCTCAGCTTCCTCAGCGCAAAATGGGGATAACGGTGCCTGCCAGACAGGAGTTGTAGCCACGCAAATGAGACCACGTGTGGGAAAACACACTGTGTGTGGCGCGGTGGCCGCAGATGGGAAGGACTGTTAGGACCTGCCTACATTGATGTCCTTCCCCGATCTTTGGCAGAGGGGCTGCAGGACACACAGCCAATGAAACCCTGGCCAGGAGTTTTTGGGATTAGCCCTTCATTGTCTCCTGGTGTCTGGTGCAGGGGAAATGCTCAGCAGACCTGAAGGGTCACCCTCCAGGCCCACAGTACTTGCCTTTCCTGCTCTGCGTCCCAGGCCTCCAGCTTGAAGCAGGAGCCCATTTCACATACCTGGAATGCCCGTTCCAGAAGTGCGGTGACTCTGGGGTCTTTGGAGTCTGCTCAGCTGCTCCCCCTGACGGTGTGTGGTGGGGGGCAGCTCAGATGTCGGCTTTTTTTTGCCCTCCAAGGGCTCAGCTTTGAGAAGGAGTCCGCCTGGCAGGGAGGGACATGAGAAAGTGTGGGCCGTTTCTCTCTAGACACTATCTGCCAGTGCTCAAAGGCATGTCATCTCTATCAGTAGTGAGCCAGAGTAGTGGTGGGCCCCCTGATTCCCAAAAGAGAAATCAGAATCATGCGTAAAAAGGGTGGATGAGCCTTCGAAGGACCCCATGTATCCCCCTTCTCGGGCGATACAACCAAAGCTTAGACAAACCTGCCTGAGGCTACTTGGCAAGACTGTGGGAAGTCTGGACTAGAACCCAGTTCGCTGGACTCCCTGTACAGTGCTCTTTCCACAGTACCATGTCACTATGGATCCAGGGAAGGGAAAAGTACTTTAGCGGTGGGATCCCTTTTTCAAATGAAATATTTGCCTGGAGAGTCACTCCTCTCCACTTCGACCACTGTCCACTCTCGTTCTGGGATCCCAGGTCCACGGTGTTCTGATACAAGGACTTTTCACCCGTGGTCCCCTGTGGATAATCATGGATCCAGTGCCAACAGTCCCCAGGATACTTAGAATTACAAGGGTCCCGACTCTGAGGACCTGGGAGCATTCATAGGATCTTTGTTCCTCTGAGGATAAAGCTGGGCCTTACATTCCTGGCGCGCCCGTTTGTTCTGTTAATGGCAGGCCTCAGCGCAGGGCGACATGGAGCGTAATGGACACTGTAATAGTTGCTGCTTGCAGTTGTTGGTCTGCTGTTGCTACAGCGAGTGACCAATCTCCCCCTCGCTGTTGCTTTCCAAAATTGTAGTTGTAAACATTGCAGTAGCAGCGATCGTACTGTCCTTTGTTAAATAGGCTTCCTTCAGGAGCCCAAGGTGTCAAGCTTTATAGTCACCGATGAGCTGGCTGCCCCCCCCTTATGTAAGTGACCTCTAAGTGAGAGCCAGTTTTGTGAGGGACTCTTGAGCTAGCAGGACAAAAAGCAAGATGTGCTGAACGCTCGCCATTCTTTTCTGGGCCCAGCTCACACCAAACATAGAAGCTTGTATCTGAAGGGACTTTGGAGACCAGCTTTTCCAATTTCCCCTCTGTACCCATTTTACAGATGAGGACACAGAGGTCCAGAAAGGAGAAGGGCCCTGTCTAGGGTTACGCCGCCGTGAGTTAGTGGCTGAGCTAGGGCTGGAATCTACCTCCTCTGACCTTCAGCCATGTGGTTTTCCCACCACGCCACCTAGGCGTGCCTTAAGACAATCTGTCTGGAGAATTTCCTTCCTTTTCTGAGAGGGAGGGAGAGAGCCAGGAGCATTTTATCCCACATCAGTTAGGAATTCAGACAATCATCCAGCAGCTTGGAGGAAGCCTGGGCAGTAGCATCCTCGAACCTTGGCTCTTTGCGTTCCTAGCCCGAGGGTCTTCCTCTGAAGCTTACTTCCACCTTCCTGACCTCCCCCAGGGGGACGAGCCTGTTCCCCAGAGCCAGCATGGTGCCTCACTGCCCTCCTCAGAGCCTGCCCAGAGCCTCCCTCCGAGGCCAGTGGTGGCGACTGAGGAGGCGGGGAGCAGAGGGTGTGTGGCTTGTGGGTGGGTCCGCGGTGGTGCTGACACACTCAAGTTGTAACCATGTTGGTGTCACCACCCCTGAACACTTCCTTGCTGACAGCTCCCCCAAACTGCCCCATATCTTACAGATAGGGGAGAGACTTCTAGGCTAATCGGGAGGCCAGAAGTTGTCCAGAAGCCCCCAAAGGGGAAGGGAGGCCAAAATGGACCGCAACCAGCTCTGCATCTTTCCTGCCCCACGTCAGTGAGGGGTGAGGGGCTTGTCTGGGCCTCAAGGGGAGCCCTGGTAGCCCTTTGAGTAGTGAGCCCTGAGCGTGGGACTGCAGCGGGCCCAGCAGGCTCTCTTGGTAACTGATGGGCTCAGGTTGAGTCAGGTTTAGGAGCAGCACGTATTCAGGGCCTCGGCCAAGTGTCCTCATGACCTCAGTTGGGCAGCCAGTCCCCACACAGAGCAAGGTACCCAAGGTTGTGGACTCTTGCAGGGCTCTGAAAAAGCATCAGCAAGGAAACCTCTGAATTACATCTTCTTCCTTCTAGCACTTTCTAGGTTAGAAAGGGCTCTCATACTGCATCTCATCTGATCATCACAGAAACTTTTTGGAAGGCAGGGCAGGTCCTAATAATCCCATATTCTAAATGGGGAAATCTGAGGCTCAGAAGGTTCAGTGATTTGTCCAAGGCCACACAGAATCGCCCCATCTGTGTTCTGCTCCCAGTCGGCCTTAGACCTCTCAGAGAAGAGAACGTGGAGCCTTTGGCTCTCCAAGGGAGGCCGAGGATTTCAGAGGCTGGGACTGAAGACAGGGCTGGAGGACAGAGGTGGAGCCAGGACGAAGTGTGGGACTCCAAGAGCAGGCCTTTGGCAGGGGCCTGGGGACTCACCAGGGTGTCACCAGCTGGGCGGGCTCTGTGTACCCCACCTGGAGGCTGCTGCAGTGGGCAAGAGACACAGGGAGAGTGGAGCTGGTGGGAGAGGGGATCTGGGCCTGGTTCTTAATCCCAGTGAGGTGGGGTCTCAGAGGCGGTGAAGGGGCATGGGCTGATGTCCCGGGGGTGAAGGAGGCCTGCATCTGCCTCGGTGGGAACACAGCTCCACCGAAGCCCTGGGAGACAGGGACCTGAGGTACCAGGAAGTCGGTAGGTCTCCCTATAGCCTGCCAGGCTTCCTGCCTCCCCGTGGTCCACACACCTTGACTACTGCGGGGTGCAGGGTGGATTTGAAAGTTGAGAAGGCGTGATGAGCTTCTCTGTGCTCAGGGGGCCTGAGGCCTCAGAGAGACTTCACGTCTGAGTGGTTGATTGGCATTTTTCCATGCCAGCGTTTGGAGAACCTGATGTGGGACTCTGGCCCCTTGGTTGGGGCCACGGGGCTTCCTCAGTGGAGACAGGGGTGGAGTTGTCCTCTCCGATGCTGTGACCTGCTTTTCTGTGTTGCACATCACAGCAACAAATCTGCAGGGCTGTGGGGAGCCCTGGGGCCTCTGACCTGGGCCCAGCCGGGGCCGTGACTCCCTCCCTCACGGGGCGGCTGACAGTGGGGCAGCATCTCGAAGTGAGGCAGCTTTTCTCACCTCCAAAAGTGGCTTCGGCTTTTTTCCCGTGTTGGCCCTGGACGGTGGAACCCAGATCTTATTCCCCGTAGAATCTTCTAAGCCCCCAGGACTGCGCTTGGCATGTAGTAGGGATGCCATCATTGTCTGAGAACAGCGTGGGATGGCCTTTCTTTTGGAATTACTTTCCGCCTTGGCCCATGGCCTCGTGTCACCTCTGCTTGCAAGGGGCATTGGGGTCACAGGAAGGGCTACATGTAAACAGAGCGTCAGCCCTGTGCTGCGGAGCAGAGTTCTTGCCCTGGGGCATGAGTCATGGGCCCCTAACCAGCCTCATCATAAGGAGCTAGGTTGTAAGCTCTGCAGGGGGTTTTTGTTCATTTGGTTCTCTGATAAATCTCAGAGCCATCAAACCATGCCTGACACCTTGAAGAAGTTTCTCGTTGGTTGAATGAATGGATGTGGGGGGCAGCAGGATTGAATGTGCCTGAGGGTTCCTTCTCCGTTTGCCTGTCCCGTCCGGCCTAGCCTTGTGCCAGGCACCCTAGCGAGTCCTCCAGGTTGAATGGTGAGCAGCTAGCCCTCTGGGGCTGGTAGAGGAAGTTGGGAGTGGGGTGGCATCCTTGGCCTACCCCTGGCAATAGAGCATTCCCCCCCAGGGTGGTTCTTGACTCTGGGCCTGGCTACTTAACCAAATGGGGATAATGAGGCTTGCAGAGCTGGCAGAGTGGTGGGGAGGAGTAATTAGCCAGGGTTTGGAAGAAGCTGTTTAAGTGGGTGGGGCCAGGCCTGGCTGGTATGAGGGGACTCTGGGGAAGTGGCCCCAGCTTCTTCTCTCTGGCCTTGGCACAGAATCAGGGCTGACATGACAAATGCTACCACCTCGCCTAGGCTGATGAGTCCCTGGCACATTGCTGCCCTCGAACATGGGATGTCGCCTTCCAGGGTGGGTTCGGTTCTCAGTGCTCTCCCTGGTGGCCACAGCAATGAGCCGCAGGCTCCAGGAATGTGGGGCCCATCCACCCTCCTCTCGCCTCTCTCCCACCCTGGACACCCAGTCCCAGAGGGTTTCTTTCTTTCTTTCTTTCCTTTCTTTCTTTCACAAGTGGGAGGGGCAGAGGGAGAGGGAGCAAGAATCCCAAGTGGACTCCGTGCTGAGCGTGGAGCCTGATGTGACCCCGAGATCATGACCTGAGCCGAAACCAAGAGTCGAACGCTCAACCCATGTGGCACCCAGGTGCTCCTCAGAAGGGTTTCTTAAAATATAGTGAGAAAACAAAGCTGGTGAATCATGTACCCAAACCTAATCATGATCCTTGACCTTGGCCTCTAGCTGTCCCCTGAAGAAGAGGAGAAACGTCGAATCCGAAGGGAGAGGAACAAGCTGGCCGCAGCCAAGTGCCGAAACCGCCGCCGGGAGCTGACGGAGAAGCTGCAGGCGGTGAGGAGCTCTGCGTGGGGTGGGAGCACTTCCGGGTGGGCAGGAGCGAGAGCCCCGGGGCTCTTGGCCTCCCACCCTCTCCTTGTCCACTAGTGGCCGATCGATGAGCCAGTGCCGACAGAAACGGTCCTTCCTTTGAGCACAGAGGGTTAGCATCACCCTGACTGAAGAAGGGAGAGGGAGGGCGGGAGCTGGCCTTTGGCACCAGCCTGGGCCCAGACACAGCCCCGAACAGCCTGCTGGGGCCTAGCACCCTTTCTCATTCAGCACCTGTGCGTTCCCTGCTCTTGAACCTTCTGGGGCCCCTGGGTGAGGGATGGCAGAGGGAGCCAGCTCAGGCCCAGACCTGCCCCCTCAGGGCTGTTTCCCAAGGTTCCAGCCGCCCCCGTGCCTACCACCAGCAGGAGTGGCCTGGGCTAGCTTAAGTGAGCTAGTTTGGGTGGGGCTGGGCCCTTTCACCTCGGCAGGGCTTTGGAAGCTCTTTGGGTCGCATGGAAATGGTCACATCCCAGCTGGGTTGGACTGTCTTGGGGTTTTCTCCTATCCTTCATGGGCAGAAGGCTTCCCCACCTCTGCTATGAGCCCGAAGCTGTCACCTTGGTAGTTCACTCTGCCCTTGTGAGTCACTCGCCCCCTGCTGCCTAATTGCCCACACCTGGGGGCCACGGCCCTGCCCTTCCCTCTCAAAAGCCCGACCTGACCAACATCACATAACTCCCTCCGGAGCCTAGCCCTACGGGATGGGCCAAATGGCATGTGGAGGAAGCCTAAAGCCAGGACTGACTCTCCCGGGGGGAATGTTTTCAAAGTGAGGAGACCAGGGAGACTGTCGGCGGTCCTTACCGTGACCGGCCAGGGAGCGGCTTTGGAAATCACCAATTACCTTGCACATCCCATGATTTTATTTAATGCTCCCGGTGCCATCCACCTGCCCCAGCTTCCCTTCATCCATCCTGGAACCCTCACTCTTGGGGATTGAATGTGTATGTGTGAATTCCCTGTAGGCTGCAGGAATGTCCGGTGGAGGGGTGTGTGTGTGTGTGTGTATCAGGAGGACAGGCGGGCACTCTCCATCACTAGGTGAAGAGATCCCTTAGTGACCAGCTCTCCATGGTGTGGAGTCCTCCCCACCACTAACCTGCTAAGGGGCCACGTCCTCTGGGTCTACCCACCGCTAGCCCCGGAATAGCCCCTCCTCCAGGCCTCCTGCTTTCCTCCCCTCTCTCCCCCAGAAGCCTCACACCCTACCCCCCTGCCGCCCCACCCGCCCCAGCCACCCAGGCCCCTGAGCCACATCCTCCACAGGAAACCTCTCATAAGCTCATGACGTTCGTCAGACCCTTGAGACAGATGGAAACTTTTTTTCACTGTGGAATATGCTGTTCTCTGCTTCGTGAAGCTCTGGCCCGTACCATCTCATTCTCGAACAGGACTCTGATAGGGGAAAAGTGGGGAGGAGGCCCGTGACACACACCTTTTCGTCTTTTGCACCCACTCCCTCTGCGGGCGTTTGCTGCTTCTCTCTGGCTTTGTGTCAGGGGAGGAGGCCGAGCTCCTTGCCTGGGACCCTGCCAGCCTCAGGCCTGCTGGGGCCACCGGGTTCCTCCTCTGCTAAAGCGCGGGGACTGAACGGAATGTTCTCCAGGGGTTCTGTGAATCCTGAATCACATGCTTCAGAAATTAGAGCAAAAAAGGGAAGTGGGGCAGTGCCGATTTAGCCGGGACTGCTGGAGAACTTCCTGCCGGCCCGGCACCATCCTCAGCTTGTGTGTGCAGCTGAGAGGCTGGTGTTGATGCAGCCGAAGGTAGGCTGATGGGGTTGAGGGGGGATGAGGAGGAGAGAGGGGTGGGACTGCACGCTGTGCTCCCGTCCCCTCCAAACCTCACTCTGACCCCCCCCCAGGGGTAGCTGGGGGCAGTCCTGGCACTGAGGGCACAGGGCATGGTAGCTAGGGACCCTGGAATCGGATACATTGGGGTCAAGTCTGGTCTACCCTACCAGCTTGCTCTGTGACGTTGGGCAAATTACCAGACCTCTCTGAACCTCAGTTTCCTTATCGGCAAAATGAGTTGATTGAAAATAGCTGCTTCAGAAATCTTCTGGAGGATTGCCTGCTGTGTCGGGCACAAAGGAAGCCCTCCATCGTGCCAGCTAATTATTGTTTCATCCTTCCTCCAAGCCGACTTTCCTCCTTTCTCAATCCGGAGCTTTGGACAAAAAAGGCCTCTTGAGCCTCCAGGTGTTTCAGAAGTGGTGGGGTCTGTGGCCAGGGGTGTGAGCTGACTGCTTTCACAACTCTCGGTTTCCCTTTCTCACCTGGATTCGAACTGCCCGCCCTCCAGCAGGCCCCTGGCAGATTCCTGCCCCTCACACACCTCTCTTCCCCCTGCAGGAGACAGAGGAGCTGGAGGAGGAGAAGTCAGGCCTGCAGAAGGAGATTGCCGAGCTGCAGAAGGAGAAGGAAAAGCTGGAGTTCATGCTGGTGGCCCACGGGCCTGTGTGCAAGATCAGCCCCGAGGAGCGCCGATCGCCTCCCGCCTCTGGGCTGCCGTCCCTGCGTGGTGGCGGTGGTGGAGCGGGCGCCGTGGTGGTGAAACAGGAGCCCCTGGAAGAGGACAGCCCCTCCTCGTCGGCTGGGCTAGACAAGGCCCAGCGCTCTGTCATCAAGCCCATTAGCATTGCTGGGGGCTTCTACGGGGAGGAGCCCCTGCACACCCCCATCGTGGTGACCTCCACGCCGGCCATCACTCCAGGCACGTCAAACCTCGTCTTCACCTACCCCAGCGTCCTGGAGCAGGAACCACCTGCGTCACCCTCCGAGTCCTGCTCCAAGGCTCACCGTAGGAGCAGTAGCAGTGGGGACCAGTCATCAGACTCCTTGAACTCCCCCACTCTGCTGGCTCTGTAACCCGGCTCCCGGGGGGTCCTCGTCACTGCCTCGTTCCCAGGGACCAGCACCTTCAAGTGCTCCAGGGCCGTGAGGGCAAGAGGGGCCCCTGCCAGAGAGCTGCCCGGCTCTGGGGACACCCAGGTGGGATTTGGCCGTGAGGCGCTGGAGGACTTCAGCCATCTCTTAGAAGTCATGGGACCTCCTCCATCATTCGTCTTGCAAAGCAAATCCTGTTTCTTGAAAAGCCTTGGAGAACTTGGTTTGGTGGACTCAGGCATCTCTCTGGCTTCTGAAGAGCCTGCAGTGGGTGTGGACCGTTCCTGTCCCTTGTTATGCTACGTCTCTGGAGTGATGGTGTCCTTCCCTGCCCCACCCAGCATGCTCAGTGCCTTTTGGTTTCACCTTCCCACTATTCGCCCCTTCCTCCCCCCAGTGTCAATTTCACTTCCTCTTGGTTTTTATCAAATTTGCCATGACATTTCATCTGGGTGGTCTGAATATTAAAGCTCTTCATTTCTGGAGATGGGCAGCAGGTGACTGACTCTTCTGCTGGGGCTGACTTGTCCGGAAGGGGACAGTCAATGTGCAATACAGAACCTTCTCTCCCTTGACACCCCCCGGTCCACCGCCATCTCCAGGACCACCATCAGGGCTCCCTGAGCTCTCAAGGAGATGTTGCCGTCACTGGGAGGCCCAGAGGACCCTTCCTCTCCATCCTCGGAGACAACTTTTTGGAGGAGCGGCTTGTCCAGAAGACAGGGTGTGAGTGAGACAGCTGGGGCACAGGTTGGGTTTGCCAAATGCCTAATTACCAGGCCAGGAATAGTGCCAACAAGCCACACAGGTGTCCTAGCCAGCTTCCCTTTACCTGGTGTCTTGAGCAGGATGTCTCCTATAATTACTGCCTCACCACCCTGCCCCTGCACCCTTCTCTCTAGACCAGGGAGGCGTCCCTCCCTAGGAACCACACATCACTCCAAGTCCCTACTGGCTCTGCCCTCCGCCAGCCTGGCTCTCAGGGTGACGCCACCCACGGAGATTTAATGAGCGTGGGCCTGGCCCCTCCCCAGATTGCTGCCAGGTGGCCCCTCCCCAAGCCTCAAAGGCACTTTTGCTGTGGATGGAAAGGTAGGGGAGGAAGGAGGGAGGCAGAGTGGGATTCGCCTCTCAGCAAGCTGCCGGGCCTTTTCTACCTTCTGTGGTCACCGGCTACCTGATGGAGTGCTTTCTCTTTTACATACTCCTTCCCCCAGAATGCTCCTTGGGTCCAGCCAGCCAGCTGTGGACCACTGGGCCCGCAGCTGTTGCTAATAAGGCTGGGGGCTTACCTGTCATTCCTGGGGGGCTGCTGAAATCAGAGATAAGATGTGTTGCTTCCCATTGCAGGAGAGGTGCCCCCTTCCCCTATGGGGCGGGGAGCGGGGAGGGGGTCCTCTGGCCTCCTGCAAAAGCACAGCTGGGCGGGTTCCCTGCCTCCCACCCCTCTGAGCCTTTTTCTCCTGAGGGCAGAGCTCTGGCTGATCTTCTTGGATTGGCCTCTGCTGGGCTAGCTGCTCTGGGGGAGACCCTGCTATTGTGATTCAGCTCTAGAGATCATTGTATGATAATTTAAAATTATATAGATATTATTTAAATCAAACCCAGTGGGGGTTAAATTTCAAAGTTAGACTCGGGAGAAAGAGAGAGAGAGAGCAAGCGCACGAGCCGTGAGGCGTTCACTCACTTGCCCCCCTCACACACCCAGGCCTTGAGCGCTGGTCCTGATTTGCTGCCCATCCCCACTCCGAGCACTAGAAGGGAGCGCGCAGAAGAGGGCAGCCAGAGGCTTAAAGGACACAGCCCACTCTGACTGGAAGTGACGTGTGAAAGGCTAGGCCATGCAGAGAGGGGAGATTGAAAGAAAAAGGATTTTGTCCAAAAAGACTTAAAAAAGGTTATTTCCCACCTTCCCTGGCTATGAGGCTGCCCTCCTGGTTTCCCAGAGGTTCTGGGAGGGGCACTCCTTATTAGACCAGGCAATTGAGTTTCTGGCTTCAGATTAATCGAAGAAACAGAAGTCAGCCAGGAACAGCAGGAGATGGGCAAAGAAAACTGGGGTGCGCTCAGCTCTGAAAGGCTTAATCATCTCAAGTGGTATTTATGGCCAATTGGGAGCTCTTTGCTTCTTTTTGCATATATATATATACGTATATATATATATATATATATTTCTTAAATGAAGCTGCTTTGGTGTTTTATTTCTAAACGTCCCTTTGTGCCCCACTTCGCACAGCCCTGGTCCCAAGGCAGGCCACAGTCTGTGACTCGGGGCCAGGCTGGACATTCCTGAGACAGAGTTTGGCTTTAGTTCAGATTTCAGGGTGTGTTGGCTTTGGGACCAGCACAGGGCAGAAACCACCACCCCAGAGGACTTGAGAGGCCTCCCAGCTATCCCCTTCAGGACCCTCTGGCTTTGTTCCAGGAGGTGGTTTGGCTTCCCCAAAGCCAGAGGTTATTTGGGGAAGGCCAAGTATTCACCCCTAACTTATGAGCACGTCCTCCTTGACTTCTTCTGGCTTGTTCTCTGAGTTCCTGCACCCACACCATTGTTCCAGAATTACCAGCCACCAGGCCTTCTGCTTTCTCCTCCATGGCTCCAACTACAGGAAGAGCTGCAGTGGGGGTGCCTTCGTGCTTGGGCTGGGAACCTCTGTGCCTCCCCTGTGTCCCCAGCCGTGAGGCAGCTGGTGTGGACTCCAGCTGGGCTGCAGGCAGCTCTGGGACGGCATAGGGCAGGCACTCCTTGACAGGCTAGTGTGAACCACACCCCGTCCTCTCGGCCACCTGGCTGGCCTCTCTGGGATCAGTCCTCTTCCTGGCTGAATGGACGGGGACAGCTGCTGACGCAAGAAAGAGAGGAGATCCCAGGTGAAGCTCGGGCAATGGCCGGAGCCGGCTGTAAGCGGAGAATTCACGGGGGAAGTTTTCAGAAAGAAATCATTGTTCTGCCCGTGAGAAAGGCCAGGTGTGTCCACTATGGCCAGTCACACAAGCATCTCAGCCAAGAACCCTCAGAGGTTACTGCTTCCTTTTCTCAGGCTTTGGGGAAAAGAGTCTCCTCTCTGCTCCCACTTGGCTCTAAGTCTAAGGGAGGACTCAGTGCTACTTTTCTCCCCTTCCCTTGATGGACCAACAGCGCTCCTGTAATCTCACCACTTACCTTTCCGGTTGGTCTCCTTCCTGATCAGATATCACACAGCCCCTTTAAGAAGGAAAGGCAGAAGCCCCTACTATGTGCCAGGCACTGTGTTAGGCACTTTTATAAATATACCCTGTTTAGAATGAGACTAAGGGATGAGGGTATCCCCTCTTCAAGGCCCCCACGTAACGGATAAACAAAAACACTTGGAGGTGAGAAGGTTTTTCTTCAAAGATCTGAGGCAAGATTGCCTTCAGTTTGAGGTTTGTTCTCAAAGACCCATCCCCCACAGTATCCTCTAAACTTCCTTTCCCTCTCCCTCGTGATGTGCTCCTTTGCACTCCTCAGATGGTTGGAGGGGTAACCTGAGTCCTTATAGAATTTGTGGACCAATAGGATATGTGATGTGTGTAACTTTCTTTTTAAAACTTAAGGGGTCTTGCTACTTTCTGCTTGTTGAGTCTTCTTGGCATTCATCTTAAAAGCCAGCATCTCACTATTTATTGACAGGTTGGGTGTGTGTGTGTGTGTGTGTGTGTGTGTGTGCGCGCGCGCGCGCACACGCGCGCGCGCTCCTGTGTGTGTACATTTCCAAGTGTACCTCCTGCAACTTTTAAAAAGGAAACTCAGTCGTCCCACTACTAATTTGACATCTTCTCATGCTTCTAGTGTTTTGGCCATACATCGACAGAGGGCTTTCACTTTCCAATGCTGATGTGTTCAGGAAAGGCTGGGTCAAATTTTGAGCGGGGATGGGAACGGGAGGGGGAGAAGAAATCGACATTTATTTTATTATTTATTTAAAATGTTTACATCTTTGTGTTGTACCAAGCCTGAAGAGAAACAGCATTAAAATACTCAGTTCCTCTCTCCCTCTCTTTCTTCATTTTTTTTTAAATTTAGGCTAATGATGCTTTTTTGTTTCTGAAATGATTTGTGACATGTGTTGTATAAACTGTATAAAAAGGGTTCTGTTTTTAAAGATGGATGGTCATTCCTCTGGGGACAGTGGTCACCGAGAAAGTCTACATTGTAAGAAAATACAACGAAAGATCCTGCCCTGTTCCTCAAAAATTATTTTCTCTGTATGATTAAAAGTTTATTCCATTTATTTTAGTTTGTGGTTACTTGATGTCGAGGAAGAAAATATTTGCCTTTGTATAAAGAATAGGTATCAGGGTGTCTTTTCTGCAGTGAGAGATGTATATATCGTATTTTGGTATATAGTGGAAAAGCATAAGCTTTGTGCATCTGTATTTGAGATATGTCAATGATGTGGAGTAAAGTCTGCTATAAGATCCTGGAGGCAAACAAGTTGTACAAGATTCCTATAGCTCTATGGGGGAATTGGATTACCTTTGTGAGCAGCTTCTCCTCCTCCTCTTTCTTCTTCTTCTCGCTCTCTCTCTTTTTTTTTAAGTATTGGTGAAATGGTCCCGTTGGAAAGGCTTCTAAATAGGCCTCTCCAGGCAGGACCACGAGCTCAAAAATCTTTGTATAGCTTTGAAAACGGAGGAGTAGCTCTGCTCTGAAGCATTTCTGGTGGTGTTTTCTGTTGTTGTTTTGTTTTGTTATTTTAATGTAATATAGGCCTACAGTATTTGCACTAAAGAAAGCTTGTTAGAAAAAGCTTGCTGCTACGGAAGAAAGAACATATTAAAACTTTTTTTTTTTTTTTGGTTAGCTTTTCCACTTTCAATTGAGTAGTTTTTGTAGAATAAAATGAATTAAGATTGAAGAGGCTCTGATGGTTGGTTTATTCCATCTTTTTCTTCCCATCTCTGCTGTTGCTTCTCTTTTTCTTCTAGACTTTTCTGCCTTTGGCCTTGGGGGTGGAGTTGGTCTCTCTGGTGGGTGGGTGAAGCGGGGAATGGCCTCTTTCTGCAAAACGGTGAGGTGGGCCACTGCCTGGGGCATGGAGCGGTCCCCCCTCCTTCCCCTTCTTTCTCCTGCTTGTCCTCCTGCCCCCCCCAACTCCTCCCAGTCCTGTTCCTTCTTTCTCAGGGCCTGACTCTCAGCTAGCTGCCAACTACTGTCAAGGTGTGAGCCAATAAAAGTCGAAGGTCCTGTCCCTTCCTGGGGGTGTTTTGTTTGAACAGTTTGGCTCTGGAAAACCCAAGAATCTTCAAAGAACCAATGAAATGTATCGCTAAGATTGTCCAGGTGAGCAAATGAGATCACGGACAGGAAAGGCCTCCAAAACAAAACAAAACAAACAAGCAAAAAAAAAACCAAGGCGTGCACCTAAGTGGACGATCACATCTTCAGATTTTCTTTCTGAAAAGACACAGGTGGTTAGGTGTGGAATTGAGAGGTGTCAGCCCAGACCCCATCGCTGCAGGTAAAGGGGGCACATCTGTTCGGGGCTGATCCTCCCTTGCAGCGTAAATGGAATGAGGGGGCAGAGCCTTCAGGAGTGCAGCTGGCTGAGAATTAGCCCCTGAAATTGCACCGGGCACTGCAAATCTGCTTCGGACCAGCTCGGTGTGCAGGCCTCATTCTCTGGAGGACCCAAGAGCACTGGACTGTATCAGAAGGGCCCAAAATCCCCAGCCTGCCCCCACTACTCAGTGGCTGTTGAGTTCGGGAGAAAGCCATTTAATGGCTCTGAGGCTTTGTCTCCTCCTCATCTGGAAAGGGGGAGGGCAACGACCATCCAACAAGAGCGCCCACACCAGCAGGATTAGGGGAGCTCCTCCTTTCCCTTTTGAGAGGGTCTGGGGCATTAGGGATAGAGCACTCAGAAGTCTCCACACCGGGCCTCCTAGGAATCTCTTCTGCCTGAGCAGACACCACAGAATGAGATGTCTGATTTCCTGGGTCGCGGATGTGTCCCCTTGTTGTGTAAGGGTCAAGGATCGCTGGGAATGTTCACGTGGGCTTCTGTTGGCTTTGGGGACTATGCTGCCCGTGGACAAGCCTGTGCACGTGTCTCCACGTGCCTCTCATGCTTAGGCGCTTCTAGAACACCTTTCATCTTCCACTAACACTTCTAGATCTGCTTCGTTTCAATTTCCACCTCTTCGTCCACATGGCAATTAGAGAGGTCGATGATTGCCAGGCACTTAGGAGGTAGGGTCATAAGCCTCTTTGGGCAGCTGTAAATGCCTTAAAAACATCTGGACAGATTTTCAGTCTTTTTATTTTTTTAAAAAGATTATTTGAGAGACAGAAAGAGAAAGAGCAGGAGGAGGGGCAGAGGGAGAGGGAAAGAGAGTCTCAAGCAGACTCCGTGCTGAGCCAGAGCCCGATACGGGGCTTGATTTCACGACCCTAAGATCATGACCTGAGCCGAAACCAAGAGTCAGATGCTTAACTGACTGTGCCACCCAGGCGCCCCTTTTTTTTTTTTTGAGAAAAACAGTAAGGGGCCACCACCATTGGGTCCCTAGACCTACCAAGTTCTGTGAGGGAATTTTGCAGTCACTGCTAAATCTAGGCTGTCCTGGTCCAAACCCCTTTGAGTGAGCCGGGTTGACGGTAAACTCTATTAATGACATGTCCAGCAAAGTTG